CTATAACCTGCATGACTAGAAGATGTGTCTCGTGAGTATAGAATACCCAAATCAGATGTACCACGTACATACTTGATGATGTTCTTCACCGCCTTCAAGTGCGATTCTTTAGGATTAGCTTGGTACCAAGCGCACATCCCTACATTGAAACAAAGGTCAGGTCTACTGGCAGTCAAGTAAAGCAAACTACCAATCATGCTTCTATAAAGCGTAGAATCAACTGAAGTTCCAGCATCATCCTTGGATAGCTAGAGTGGCTTCCCATAGGAGTTGCTAGACACTTAGAATTTTCTATACCAAATTTTCTCACAGGATTTTTGGCATACTTGGTCTGATGAAGAAATATCCCCTCCTTGGATTGCTTGACTTGCAAACCCAAGAAGTAGGACATCTCTCCTACCATGCTCATCTCAAATTCGTTAGGCATATGAGTAACAAATTTATTGACCCAAGTTCTCGAGGTAGAACCAAAGATAATATCATCTACATAAATCTGTACAATGATAATATCTTTATTAGACTTTTTAACAAATAGAGTTTTATCAACTCCCCCTCGAGCGTACCCCATTTTGACCAAAAATTGGGTTAGACGTTCGTACCAGGCACGCGGAGCCTGTTTAAGTCCGTACAACGCCTTTTTTAACCTGTAAACATGGTCAGGGTGATGAGGGTCTACAAACCCTTCTGGTTGCTTAACATAAGAAACCTCTTTCAAAAAGCCATTCAAAAATGCAGATTTTATATCCATTTGATAAATCACAAAACCAAGCAAACACGCAATAGATAAGAACATTCTAACAGAGTCAAGTCGAGCTACAGGGGCAAATGTCTCATCAAAGTCAACACCCTCCTCTTGGGTGTACCCCTGAGCTACAAGGCGGGCCATGTTCCTAGTAATCTCCCCTAATTCATCAGTCTTATTTTTAAAAATCCATTTAGTTCCAATAACGTTCGAATCAAAAGGTCTAGGGACAGTTCCTACACACCGTTTCTCACAAACTGTTGGGTTCTGTTAGGAACGTCAAACAACATGCACAGTATTGAACTTTATCGAAATAAATCCTAACGCAGCGGAATCTATAGTTAGGATATGG